CGTGTCCCTTCGGGTTCGTCGGTCCCATCGTTCCTGGGGGTGTGTTTCACCCCCTTCTTCCTTACCCTTTTTGCACTTACAATGTGATACTGTTCCCTTCGTATCGGGTTCCCTGCGTGTTCCTTGATCAGGGGTTTATTTTTGTCCATACGTATCTCTGTACATATGTGCTTGCTTGTTGTGGTTCTCGTTGGTTCGTGCGTCTCTTCGTACCTTCCAATATTATTGGAACGTCTGTTTATCTCCAATGTGGTTTCCCTCTGGTCTTTTGTCGGCCTCGTTAGTTACCTTCCGTCTTCTTTCGCTTTGTTTTTGCCTTGTTTTGTTTTCACATCATCTCTACTTCTAGTTTCGGCATTACATACGTTTTCCTGGTGTTTGTACGATGTGCGTATACGATATGTCTGTAAGTTTTGTGTGTGTACAATGTGTGTTCACCTGGTGTACGAGCGACACCACCCGGTGGACAAATGGTGCGTTCGTGCCTCGTGCGCTGGGGCTGAGGTGTGCGCTTTGTTTATGGGTGGTATGCTCGTGTGTTCGCGTCGTTTCTCGTGGTTTTCTACGACTTCTTGCTCATTTTCTCCCTCTAGTCATAGCCCTCTAGCTGCTGAGGGTATTCTGGATTTTATGTCTGGGGGAATCACTTCGTTCTTCCTCTGCTTTCGGGTGTGGGATGGCTCTGCGTGGCGCCTCCTCCTCTCCCTCTGTACTGCGCCTCGTCTTCTGCAGGGCGTGCAGTATGCATAGTATGCATAGTATGCATGGCGTTCGAGCGCACCACTAGCGATGCCCCTGGTATGTTACTTTGCTCGCCTGTGTTGTGGCACGGTCGTGCCTCTGCTCAGGTGCGATTGTCGTGTCTGGCGCCTCTGTCAGCCAGGTGCTGGTTCTCGCCTTTTGGTGGGGTGCCTGCCTAGTTGTGCTTGCGGGGGTTGAGCTCTGGCTCTTGGGCCCCGCCTCTTTCCTGTCGGTTGATGGCTGTGCAGTTTCCTGAGCCTCCTGGGCTCTCTCTTCTCTACGTTTGCTCCTGTGGGGTAGAGTCTGCCTTCACCACGTAGCTTCCTAGTGCTTTCCGCTTCCTTTCCCCTCTGACATTGTTCGGGTTCTTTTTCATGTCTGTGGCTCCTTTGGGTACTCAGCTTCCTCCTGTGTCCCTTTGTGCATACGAACATACGGACATAAGAACAGAGGAACTGCAGAGGGCCTATTGGCTCATACGAGGCAGCTCCTATTTCTTACCACCCATTCCCACTCATATACATGTCCAACCCACGCTTGCACCAATCGTGGACCCCGCCACCACGTTATGCGGTAATTGGTTTCACAAATCAACGAACCTGTTACCGTACCAGTATTTCCTCAAGTCTTTCCTGAATCTACACTTATTCATTTTATGCCCATTGTTTCGTGTCCAAAATGTGCCACAAGGGTGGCATGTGCCACTGTACCAGTTCTATTGTTACGTAAAGTATGGTAACAATAAACACAAACACTAAGAGACTAAATATATTTGGTCGAGTATACAGAAGTACGCAGGTGATACTTTGGCGAGCAATGGTGTGAGTTGAGCGCACTGAGCGTCGGTACAGTATCTTGCAAGTGTCTGTTCTAGACCGCACTTGGAAGTAGACTAGTTATTATTCACTACTCTGCTGCTTATATGCTCGGGGCAACACCTCACCGTTCTCTAAACGTTGGCAGGAATATTAACTGGAAGTAGGGTATGGTTTGAGTTCCATAATTAGTACTACAAAGAGCTTTGCTTCTCTCATTAGGCTACTGCATTTGGAGCGAGTATATTATTGGGATATTCTACTCGCTACACCACCCTTGGTCACTGCTCCATCCTTGTTTACTCTTCCCCACTTGGCAGGGTTGCGTCGATGGCTCTTAACAGTGGTGTTTGGTGTAATGTGTTGTGTTTGGTCACCTTGCATGTGTCTTCAGTGACTCCTTTGTCCATGTCTCTTGTTCGTGGTCCTGTGGGGCTCTGCCCCGCATTTCGGTGCTTTTGGTTTCGTTGTCGGCACCTGGGTCTTTTCCTTGTCTGGACACTCATTCCTTGCCTATCTTTGGTGCCTGGCTGCACCCTGCTGTTTATGAGGTCCCTCGGGTACTTACGCCCTCCTCTACACATTTTGTGGTTGGTCGTGTGCATTAATTCCCGGCTGCTCCTTGGTCCGTATTCGGGGTTTTCCTTACCTATTTCCGTTTTTCCTCCTCCTATGCTACACTTGTCTGTGTATCTGGGTTGGTGCTTCTTGACTATCCTGATGTTGGGTGCTCGGGTGGGCCTCTGTCCATGTTCAGTTCCCTGCTTTTGGACTTCTCCGGTGTTCTGTTTTGGTACTGAATTCTTACGATTTTGTTTGTGACTTACTGCAGCCCTCGGTGTTGCGCTTTCTGTGGGGGGGTTGTGGACTTTCGGTCCTCCGCTCCTGCCTTACTGCTTTCTTTTCTTGAAACCGGTAGCTGGGTTCTGGTCCTGGCTCCGGTTTTTCTTTGTTCCTTTTCCAGAACGGGTGTGTTTGCTTTCCTGCGGTTCACGTCCTGCGTAGTTAGCCTCTTGGATGCCTCAGGGACGCGTGCATCCTTCTTCCCTGCTGGAGCTGGTTATGTTGCTCCTTTGGGTTGCAGGGTCGCTGTTTTTCGATTTGCGTTTTGCGCTTTCGTTCATGGTGCTAGTTTCTCGTCGTTTGTGTCGGCATTGCTAGATTCGTTATTGGTCTCCCACCTGCGTGTTTCATCTCAGGGGCGGTGTGTGGTTTTCCTGGCAGTCCTTCCGGTTTTCCTATCTCTGCGAAGGGTCCTTCGGTCTCTGACAGGGTTGGCTTGTCTTCCCTTCGAGGTTGTTCCGGGACTGTCGTCTGGGACCATGTCCTGTCCCCTCGTATTGGGTGGTGCTGGCGGAGCTGCTCCTGTTTGTGTTCGGTGTTGCGGTTCCTTCTGCTCCGTCCCGCTTGCTGACCTGAGCGTTGTTTCTCCTCCAGACTGCTCTTGTCTTGAGTTCTGGTGCCATCCTGGTCATTGGCCTGGGTGGTCTATTTTCTTCTCGTTTTGGTCTTTGTTTTGTCTGTGGTCTTGGGTTTTAGGTTCAGGTGCATGGTGTCCGCCTCCCGGTTGCTTCCCTGTTTTCCTTATCTGTGGTGAGGTAGCTCCGGGGAGCCGACGGGGCTTCCCCCAGAAAACCAGCGTTGAATGTAATGAATCGCCATTTACTGAGTAAGTCCCGGAGGCTCCCCGGCATCCCTCCCTCCCTCCGGTCGGCGGCGTTTTTCACGTATTTTCACATCCAGCCTAAGAACTGCCAGTTGGATCGCTGGCATGGAGGGTCTGGGGCTCCCCCTTCCCCCTCCCGTGGAGGGGGGGTTGCACAGACGACGGCGCAGCGACGTGATGACGTCATGCTAGTTTGATAATTTAGTTTGGGGAGTTCTGTCTACTCGTTCAGTTTTCAGTAGCAATATTTTCACCAGAATAGGGGTTTGTTTTGGGGTGCCCTACCTTCCTGGGTGCCTATCCCGGTCGATGGCAGATATAGAATGCTCCCAACCACAAGAGGGTTTCTATAGGCCATTGCTCCTCGTGCCTCTCAGAGGGAGTCAGGTTCTGGCTCATGGTCCCCGGTAGGCAAGAACTCCTAGCACTTTGATGCCAGAAAGTTATACATATCCATTCAGCCTGGATAGCTCCGGGGAACCTCCGGGACAATTCAATTTCTTTCTTTATTATGCACCCCATACCCATCCCGTGGGTGGTGGTGTAAAGGATTACAGAGGCACATAATCGGTTCAGGAACTGAACCCTTTAGTTCGTTTAGCTAAGCAAATAACAATATTTGACGCTAGTTACAAAATTATCAATGTTGTATACACATGTACATACCCTCATACATACATGTACATATAAATATACGTATACACATATACATACACATACACATACATATCTAATCACCCACACAATTACACACATCAATAATCTTTGTGTCACTTGTGACACAAAGAGGTGTCACAAGTGACATTACAAGAGGCTCACAACAGTCACTATACGAGGCACTTTACATCTATAGTGAGTCACTAGTCTTGCTCAACACCCACCCAACTGGGCGGCAGCTTTACAGTCATGTGCATGTATTACCTACAGTAAGCAAATTTTGGATGCTTCGCTAAAATTTCGGGCAGCACATCATTATGAATGAAGTACTTACACATTTCTTGGACACTATTGATGGTGTTATCTCTAAATTCTGCAATTTTTTCACATTCCATTATATAATGACGCAAAGTATGCGAATAGTTCTGCTGACAGAGTTTACGGGACACGCCCAGAAAATGGCGTTTCATTACATTCAACATGGTTTTATATCCTAGAATATAATTTATATTTTTTTGTTTGTTCTTAAAGCCCAGATCATCTTATATATTTATTTATTTGTTCTTATATCCTAAATCATCTTATATATTTATTTCTTTGTTTCTATATCCCAGACCATTTTATATATTTATTTGTTTGTTCTTATATCCCAGATTCTCTATTATATTTAATTTTGTTAAGAACTTTACTTTAAGTCTATTAACCAAGCTAATTTCAAGTTTGTGCAAGTTTATAAATATTAATATTTAAATATGAATGCTTTGCATCTTGTGTTATCTTGCAGCTTGTACTGAATATCTTTTGCACCTTGACAGTCTTACCTAGGTATTCAGTAACAAATATAGCACTTCTGCCTGTAATGATGGTCTCTTTATTTGCATTATTTAAAAAAATTCATGTGATGCTGTTGGTTCTTGAAACATAGTATGGGCAGTTAATGATTAGTACTATATCTTCACTGCAATGCTTTTTGAAGTTAATTTTAAATTTTATATTATTTTTATTCTTGTACTAAATGCTTTCATGCTTGCAACATTATTCTGACATGGTATGTTTCTTTAATTTAATATCTCCTTTGATAAGTAGTGAAGCACTGTATTAACAATCTCTTCCCTTATTAGTGATATGCGAGATGGATGTGGATGCTGGGCCTTGCTTAGATGGTTTCAAGCGATGGCATTTCAGCAAAGAGCATGCCTCATGTATTGCATTTAAATATGGCGGGTGTGGTGGAAATCGAAATCGCTTTAAGTTATTTAACACTTGCATCCAGTTCTGTGCTGCTGCCATCACAAAGTACCGCAGATGTAAGTCTCGGCTTCAGTATGTACTGCAACCACTATATCTTGCTTTAATTTAGGAAGATTCCTTATAGAAATAATTTTTGTAATAATTGTTAAACATAATTTCCTTAAAAATGGCAGTGTCTATCCATTTAATGTCATATTTTATATATTTTAAGTTACTTTGTGCTGTTCATGTAATCTGGTTAAAAGTATTGTACTGCAAAATACTTTGTGAATATTCTCCACCTATAATTTATCTGGTGTTTTCCACATATTTCTGGCCTCCCCCCTACAAGTAGTCTGTTATCTTGCATTCTTTCTCCATTTTGCTCTGGGAAGGCACCCCCTCAGTAACTCCCTGAGTTATAATACTGGGGCTGCCAAAGTCATAAAGAAAGACCTCTGAAACCCATCCATGAGGCCCATTCGACAAAATCAGGAAAAGCATTGACAAACTAAAACACTTTCTTTTGTCTTGGTGGTTTTTCCTTGCACTTTGGTGTGTGTGGGCCAGGAGTTTCGTGCACTTTAAGCTGCATGTGCTCAGGATTACCTTCCTTGGGTACTCCTCAGTGCTTCCTTTGAGTTGCCTTGTTCTCTTCACTGGAGTGTTCAGGTGATGCTCCCATAGAGGTCCTCCTCGCTTGTGGTGGCCTTCATCTTGGGATAAGTCCGGGGTTTTGAGCTTCCATCTTTACCCTAGTTGCAGCATCTTGGCTGGTGAGGATGTTCACCCAGGACCAGGAGCAACAACCAAACTTGTGAGAAGAGGTACGGGTAATCCCACCTCGATCAGTCCAGCCGAAAAGCATTGACCCCGACGGCCTCGCAGTCTTGGAAGGGTGCCACATAAACTGGAAGATGCCTTGACCACACCGATGCAAAGAGGTCCACCTCCAGGTGCCTGTACATCTGACAGAGCATACTGAATGAGTCAATGTCGACCATCCATTCCATGGATCGGGGAATGAACTGAGATAGGCCGTCTGCCAGGACATTTGACACCCCTTGAACATGAACCGCCTGGAGAGCCAAACCCCGAGACCTCAGCAGATGAGTCACCCAAAGCGACCAGCCCCAAAGAACTAAGGACCACATCGAACCCCCTACGGTTCAGACAATGAACCACCAGGGAGCAGTCTAAATGGAGTCGGATTGTTGCTCAGCGAGTGACACGAACCCTCTGAAGCGAATGCCACACTGCCACGAACTCCTGCACTGTGCTGTGAGCCCAACGGAAGGACGGAACCCCACCAGCCCTGGCCGACCTGGTGAGCACTGGTCACAAAACCCCAGCCGAGAGACTAAGCATCCGTGAACGCATCAAGCGAGGGCTCAGGGAGGTACCACAGCACAGAACCCTAAAAAAAAAACGCAACGTATAGCTCCCGGGATCTGAACCCAGCGATTGCAAGAGAGGCGGAAGGAACGTCCCCGAAGAAACCAGAACAGCTGCCGAAGCCAGATCTGATCTGACTGGTAGACCAGCACAGCGAAGTTCAGGCTCCCGCACAGCCACTCGAACAACCAACGTGTGACCTGGGTGCCTTCCAAAAACGGTCCTAGGCTGGACCGCAACCGCAATAATGCAGCAGGAGGGAGAAACAAGGAAGCGGTCCGAGAGTCCCACATAAGACTAAGCAAAGTCTGAACCTGAAAGAGAACCAAATGGGACTTTCTTCAGTTCACCAAGAACCCAAACCCGGCAAGCTGGGAAAGAACTAAATACCTGGCGAGCAAACACACGGATTGGCTGGGAGCCAACACCAGCCAATCGTCGAGGTAAGCCAGAACCCTAACCCCTAACAGACCCAAACGGGTCACCACGACCCGGGTAAGGCGTATGAACACGTGAGGTGCCAGATTCAAACCAAAAGAAAGGCAATGAAAATGGTAAGCCGGTTGTACCACAATAAAATCGAGCCAGTCCCTGAACCCCGGAGGAATCAGGATGTGCCAATACGTTTCCTGGAGGTCCAGAGATACCATCCAGGCACCTGGTGCCAAAAGCAGCCAGACCTGAGACAGAGTGGTCATCCTAAAGTAGGGACAAAAGACACAGGGGTTCAGATGGGACAAGTCTAGTATGAATCGCAGGTCCGCACAGTCCCGTTTCGGAACTGGAAACAGGCTGGAAACCCACCTGAGGGACCCTGTCATTTCAACCACGCCCAAGCAAACCCATTCCAGGATGACCTGACAGAGCACAGGGAAAGAGGCCTGCCCTGCCAGCCCCGATTCCCGGAAGGAGGAGGAATGACCCAACGCCACTGCAGGCCAGAGGAAACAACCTGAAATGCCCAAGAATTGCGGGACCAGGCGAGAGCAAACAGCGCAAGCCTGCCCCCTATTGCCCCTTCATCAGGGCGAACCACAAAAAGGCCAATGACCCCTACGAGAACCCGACCGACGCTCAGAGCGATCACTGCGACGACCAGATGCCGACGGCTCCTCAGGAAGGGCCGATCCCGAATCTGGCACTTCTGGCTTACGATGACTGAAGGAACCTCGAGACCTGGCACGACTCTTCTGGGCAGGACCATCACGGCCCCCCCGGAGAACCAACAAGTCCGACATAGGCCGGCAACTAGACTAAGCTGTCTGCAGAAAATGCACCACCGCAGACTCTTCAAACAGCAACGAACAAAATGGGGGATGAAAATCTAAGAGCCAGGTTTCAAAGTTTCCCAAGCCAATTCCAAAGAGTGGACGAGCACTGCTTGTCGGCATGCGAGAAGAGAAGCAAAGAACAGAGACACCGCCTCCTTCACAATCGGCGTAAACAACTTCAACAGGCAACCGACGCCTGAGCTGCCGAAGCAAACACACCGGACACCAGTCCAGATTCCATCTCCTCCACATCCTTCCTGAGCCAGTCCGAAGACAGCTCCAGCAGGGAAAAGAAACGCAAGACCGAAGCCAAGTGCCCACAGGCACACAAATCCTTGGCTACCAGGGATGCCAAAAGGGAGGGATCCTGCATGTGAAGCTGCACATGACCAACATCATGAGGAAGGACTGGGGCGAACAAGCACGCATTGAGGTGTTGAAACTCGTTTCCCCCAGGTAAATCTGAACGACCGTAGTCAACTTCCGCCATTGAAGCATGCGGGTCCAACAACGAATGCCACTCCGCCAATGAAAAGAAAGGGCAGTCCGCCTGCCACGAAGACTCCGGCATCTCGTAATGCACCCCAGTAAGGAAGCCAGGAGTGAAACTCAAAAATGAAGGATCCATTATATAGGCGTAATCCAGGTCTCGCAGGAGGTAAGCCACAAGGGCCTCCTGCACCACCTTCGATGTTATGCGGGAAGCCGAAAACCTCTGGAAGGAAGGAACCGAAGAACCCAAGGGAACCCAGAACTGAACCCGGGGAGGAGTTGAACTCATCAAATTCATACAGGGAAGGGGAATAGGAAAATCCCTCCCCCTGTAACAACAAGCCTCGTGCCGAGGGTACCAACACCCAAGCCCCCCAAATCAACTCCTCCCCCACCCCTGGATCCTTTGCGTCAAGATCCGGGGCCAATCCATCCTCTAAACCCTCTACCTCTGGAGATAAAGCAGAGTCCACCAAAAAAGCAGGGATGAAGGGGGCCCCGCTGGCGTGACCCAAAAGCACTGGCAAGAGGAACAGGCTCGAATGCCTCCACCGCAGACCCGGAAGGGTCAATCCCTGAAGCTGCCCGAGACTCACTATCAGGCAAACCCTGCCCCGACTCCGAAACCCTCAGACGTTTGGGAATCGGGAAGCAGGGTGGGGGGGATGAAGCAGGATGAACCACAGCAGGAAAAGGATTAGGAGAGTGCAGATGAAACGAAAGTTGAGGCGACTAACACCCCCAAGTCCTGGGTCCCTATAACCAAAGCAGGGCAGCTGCGGGGCATCTGGAAAGGTACGCAACTTTGCGTGTTGCAGCAACCTAAACTGCACATGCAATGCCGAAGCTGCTTGCATCCGAATATAAATTTCAATGGACTGGGTGAATTGGAGAACAAGCAAGGATCACCACTCGCAGGACTCCTGGTCAAAGGTGTTACTGATCCAACAAGCAGCATGGCAGAGGCAAAGACGGTGAGTGTCACCCTGAGTCAAGGGAACAGAGCAACCTTCAAACTCACTCAAAGCGAGGTTGGACTCAGAGGTCTCCTCCATCGGACCACTGAGCCCCAATGGGGGTTTCCAGGGCCCTTAGGCTGACTGCTAAGGGAAGCCCAGGCGAGGTACTGCTAATCGGTTATTCCAGAGCTTCCAAGCAAACAAACTACAATCTGAACCCCTGCGACGTGTGCAAGTATGGGGACCTAGTAGAGGGGCCACCAAAATCATACAAGTGGCCCTACCACCACACCAGGCAGACCCCTATGAAATAAAAAAAAAAAAAAAAGGAAAACCCCACAAAAGTACAATGTCTCCAGGTGAACAGAACCAGTCGCTATATGTATATCTGACAGCAGCACAGTACCTCGCACCCCAGCCAGCGACGAAACTACCTCCTACCCAAGGCCAATCAGGAGAAAGAACCACCCCACCTGAACCCCAACGGCGGATAATCACCGAGCAGCAACAGAACATCGCAGAGGTAGTTCCCGAACGGCTCGGGGAAGATAACCCTAGGCCACAGGGGCAGTACTTACAGGGCACTTAAGGAAGGTGACGCTAGGTGCATGCAACCCCAGTACTCTTGTACTGGGGTTGCATGCACTCCTGGGTCGCACACCACCAACACTGAATAACAACACCACTATGCATCATGGCTCAAGGGATGGAGCCAGGGTCAATCGACCACCACCAACACAATAGCCTCTTAAACTGAGGAGAATTACCGGCGTGGATGTCTGGGACCCCCCCCATCCCCCACCAAGGGGAGGGGGGTTGAGCCGGTTGCTATTTGGTTGCTCACCGTTATTTGTGTGCCACAGGGGGAAAGGGAGGGAGGGAGGGAAGGATGGATGGATGGATGGATGGATGGATGGATGGATGGATGGATGGATGGATGGATGGATGGATGGATGAAGGGATGGATGGATGGATTGAGGGATGGATGGATGGAGGGAGGGAGGGAGGGGGAGAGGGTTGCGCAGACAGATGCATGGCGATTATGGTGACGTCATGCTTGATTCCTTGTTTTTAATTGGGGGAGTTCTGTTTGCTAGTTCGGCTTCCGGTTTGCAATTTTTGACCAGCAGTAGTTTGTTTTGGAATTCCTACCTTTCTGCATGCCTGACCTGGTAGATGGCAGACAAAGACTGCTTCCAACTATACAGGGGGTGTCTTTAGGTTATTGCTTCTCGTGCCTCTTTCCTTGAAGGGGCTGGGTTCTGGCTCTGGTCCCCAGTAGGCCTAGAACTCCTTTGATTGACTGTTGCCACAGTCTAATATATACACATTAGCCCAGTATAGCTCTGGGGAGCCGAAGGGGCTCTCCACACCTGGTAGTGTGGAGAGATTTTCTGCACAGAAAATCAGTTTTTCTTTGATTTTGTTATTATGATTTATGTATTTTATTAAATTTAACAATTTATTTAGCAATAATTTAACATTACTCATGTTGTCATTGATACTGTTACAACAATTCCCTGATTGAGTGTTAAAAAAGTCACTCAATTACATAAACATTGCTCAATAAATTACTTGTAATTTTGTTTATCATATTTAACTAATTTGCAGTTGATACTACAACAACTACTGACATGTTGGCACCTTCATTGGAGCCATCAGGCATCACACAACCTGATACAAGAGACCAATGTAGAGAATCTGTGATTGCCTGCCAGCTACTTCAGGTATGTAGTTCTATCTTTAGCCCGATGTTTTTCTTTCTCATGGAAGCTCCTATTTGGGGGATAGCTATACTGTATAGCAGAAGCTTCTCAGGAAGTTCTATTACCACACAAATCTTAAACTCTTTCAAGTTCTCTAACTCCTCCCTTCAGCCCTTCTTTCATATATTAACTCTTTCCTTCCAAGGTACTGGTCATCTGCATCTACCATAAGAATCCCTTGTGGATCGATGATCTGGCTCCATTTGGACTGTGCGGTGATTCATTGCCTGAACCGTGGGGGTTCGATGCGGTCCTTGGCACTTTGGGGCTGGTCGCTTCGCATGACTCATCTGCTGAGTTCTCGAAGTTTGGCTCTCCTGGCAGTTCACGTCCAAGGGGGTTTCCAACGTCCTGGCGGATGGCCTGTCCTAGTTTATTTCCCTTTCCACGGAATGGACAGTCAATGCCGATTCACTCAGTTACTGAGTGAGTCGGATGCCGGATGTATGGGTGCCTAGAATTGGACCTCTTTGCATCGATGTGGTCGAGGCATCTTCCAGTATATGTGGCGCCCTTCCCCGACTGCAAGGCGGTCGAGTTTGATGCTTTTCAGCAGGACTGGTAGAGGTGGGGTTACCTATACCTCTTCCCGCCAGTTCAGCTGTTGCTTTGGGTTCTGACTCGGTTGGAGACTTACCAGGGGAGAGTTGTCATGTTGGCCCCTTGGTGGCCAGCCCAGCTTTGATTTCTGGTGCTGCTTGCTCAGTGTTTGAACCCGGGGACTTTTCCGTTGCTCTGCCTCTTTCAGCAGATCGGTCCAGTCCAGTATGTACCTGGTTCGATCTTCTCCTTTGATCTTTGCGTCTGGTCTTTCTGACGCGAGTTTATCACCACTTGTATGGTGATCAGGTGGTTGCGTTGATGGTGTCTCACCTGCGTGTTTCATATCGGCAGCAGTATAAAGTCTCCTAGCGGTCCTTTCATCAATTTTTTTCCTCTTCGTAGGTTGTCTTCAGTTTCTGATCAGGTTGATTTGTCCTTTTCTCTTTTGGCTGTTTCAGGACCGTCATCTTATGCCGAATACTGTTACCTCGTATTGTACAGGCGCTGGCGGAGCTGCTCCTGCTTGTGTTCAAGGTGGATGTTACTTCCTCTCTATTTCGCAAGCTGTCACGTGCGTTGTTTCACCTCTGGCCTTCTCATGCGCCACCTGAGCCATCATGGTCATTGAACCAGGTGCTCTCTTTTCTCTCGTCTCCTCGGTTTGTGGTGGCCCTTTCGGTTCGGGATTGTTTTGATAAGGTACTTTTCTGGGGGGAACCCCTTCAGCTCCCCGGAGCTTATCCAGGCTGATATGCTAATGTCAGACTTTGACATCAGTCATGTGTATGGAGTTCTATGGGCCTACCGGGGACCACGAGCCAGAACCTGGCCCCCTCAGAGAGGCAAGGGGAGCAATGGCCCATAGAAACCCCGGTGTGGTTGGAAGCATTCAATGTCTGCCATTGACTGGGTCAGGCACCCAGAAAGGTAAACGCCCCAAAACGAACCCCTATTCTGGTGAAAATTGCTACCACAATCCGAACAAGTGGATAGAACTCCCTGAATAGAAACGAGCAAACGATCATGACATCACACGTCGCCGCTATCTGCTCAGCTTCCCCATCCCAGGGAGAGGGAAGGGGGAGCCCAAGACCTACCGCACGTGCCGGCTATCCACCAACAGTTCTTCAGCAGATGTTATAGACTGAGGTCATGTGTTCTGGCTCCGGTAGTTGTTTCAGCACTGTACCTAGCATGTGGTGACTGTCTTCTAGGTGGTGCATGAGCTGGTAGTGATTTTCCAGTACTCGGGCTGCATGCGCCTAGGGTTTCCTTCCATAAGTGCCCTGTCAGTGCTGCCCTTGGGGCTTGGGGTTCCCTTCCACAAGTCCCTTGGATTCTGCCCCTGCTAGGCCATTTACTGCTTGATTTTCGGCAGCCCTTTGTGTGCTAGGGTGTTATGTCTCCCTTGTTCGCCTTGGGGTAAGGGGGTAGTTTTGCACTGGTTGGGGTACTGCACAGCTTGTTTTCACCAATCATAGTGCCTAGCTCTGTTCCGCCTGGGTACGCTGTCCTCTTGCGTGGTTTTCTTTTGTCTTTTTGTTTGTCTACCTGGTGGGGGGATCTGCCTTGGTTCTTTCCCCCTTTGTACTGCGCATGCCTGCTTTTCCGGTGGTTTCCCCTGCTGGGTCCCCGTGAGTGTACTCGTCTCGGGGGTTCAGTTCTTAAACGGTTGTTTGGTAGACTTGGGGGCCGGTTAATAGTACCCTGCCTGTGATTACCGATTGATTGATTGATAAAAATTAAGCTACCCAAGAGGTGGCACGGGCATGAATAGACCGTAAGTGGTACAATTTTTTGTTCAGTAATTCTTTTCAGTATTCTGAAGTTACATTTAATCGTCAAGCTGTTATCGCGGGGGAAGGATACTGCTTGGTCTGGGATTACCTGAGCACAAGTCCTCTTCTAGTAAACGCTCAGGACCCTGAGAATCCCCTAGGGACGCGTGGGTCCGATGGATGTGAACCCGAGGTCCCCCCTCGTTTCAAGTGAGTTTGTGGGTTGCTCTGTTCCCTTGAAACAGGGTGACTCTCTGAATCTTTGCCTCCGTCTGCTGCCTGTGGGGTCAGTGGCACCTTCGGCCAGGAGTCCTGCGAGTTTTATTGCGTGTGACTGTTACCCTGTCTTATGCTGACTATGTGGGTACAGGCAGCACAGGCGTTGCAGGTTGAGTTTCAGTGGTGGCAATGCTCTGTGGTGGTTGCTCCCCGGAAGCCCCGAGGCTGCCCCATTTTGGTTGGCATGTCAGGGCTTGGGGGTTATCTTCTTGAGGTTATCTTGAGATGATTTCGGGGCTTTTTTTTTAGTGTCCCCGCGGCCCGGTCCTCGACCAGGCCTCCACCCCAGGAAGCAGCCCGTGACAGCTGACTAACTCCCAGGTACCTATTTACTGCTAGGTAACAGGGGCATTCAGGGTGAAAGAAACTTTGCCCATTTGTTTCTGCCTCGTGCGGGAATCGAACCCGCGCCACAGAATTACGAATCCTGCGCACTATCCACCAGGCTACGAGGCCCCCTCGTAGCCTGTTGGTTGGGTGTTGGTTCCTTTGATTTCCTTCCACGCCCCCTTGTCTTTCCCTTGTGGTCTAGTCTGGTCCCTTCCTCCCTGCATCCAGGTTTTTACCGACTGTGGGTTCGGGGTCGGGGTAGGGCCTCGTTGGTTTTGAGACTCGGGCTGTCTCGGGGAAATCCCCTTCCAGGGTAGCAACGGGGGCATTTAAGCCTGTTCCTTGTTCCTAAGTTTTTTCTTGTTAGGTCGGAGGTTTGGGGGAATGGCTCAGCCCTGGGGCCTGTCGTGTGGGTTCCCGGGGCTGGAGAGAGGCTGCCTTGGGGGGGCCTCGGGCCCCGTTGAACCCCGCTGGGGTTGTTCTACCCTCTGAGTCGGGCTTGCGGTTACGCGGAGTGGGGTTCTTCCTTCCCCCCTCTCCGTATGAGTAGTTGGGCGTCAGCCCCTCCCTGGGCTCGTTTTTCTTGTCCCTAGAGTCCATTGGTTCCATCCTGTTGGTGGGTGCTCTTTTCCGTTTATTCCCCCCCTCTTCTTGGGTCAGAACTTACCCGTCATGTTCCCCTCTTCGTGGGGTGCTGCATGACATTTGGTCTTGGGTATGGCTGTGCTTTTGTGTGCCTTGGTGATTTGTGCTTGTTTCTGTGGTTCTCGAAGGTTCTGGTAGATTTTCGCTGCCTGCCGTATTATTGGAACGTCTGTCGTCTTTCGATGTGGCTTCTCTCTGGTCCTTACTAGGGCTTGTTGGTCCTCTTCCGGGCTTCTTCTTGGTTTTCGGCCCTGTCTCGATCTTTTGTTCCTATATCTTTTCTCCGTGCTCGGTCTCTGCATTGTTCGTTTTCTTTCCATACTCCTTGTCCGGGATGCCGGATTGGGCTACTTGCAACCCAATTGGGTTGCCGGTTAGGTTCCTTGTCTTTGCTGAGTACACCGGCTATGTTTGTTGCTGCTTCTTGTTTTTTTTTGGCTCCTGTTCCCGTGCGTTGGGCTGTTTCTGCTCCTGCACGAATCCCTCGGGACATGAACTGTTTGGGCTACTTTTTCTTGTAAAGTAGTCCTAGTTGGTGCCGTCACGCTGAGCGGGTTGTGCACGTGCGCCGTGAGAGTTTGTTTTGTTCTGGGCACTGTGCACAAGTGCTGGTGTTTTCCGTCTTTTTCTCTCAGGTACTTCGCCTCTAGCTCTTCTCCATTCTCGAGTCCGTGCCCTGTGGCTACTGGGATGTTCTGGCTACTGGGGTGTTCTGGCTCAGGGTGACTCTCATTGTTTTTGCCTCCGTCATGCTGCCTGTTGGGTCGGTGACACATTCGACCCTGAGTCCTGCGAGCTGTGTTGCTTGTTTGTGACTCAATTCACCCAGTCTGCTGATGAGTTACTTCGGGTGCAGGCAGCACGTGCGTTGCATGGTAGGCTTAGGTTATTGCAACGCGCGCGGGTTCTTGCTTCCCCGGACGCCCCACGGCTGCCCCGCGTTGTGTATAGGGACTCAGACTTGGGGGTGTTGGTCGCTTCGGACTTGGTTCCGTCCACGCCCCCTTGTTCTTCCCCTTCGGTGTTTCATTCTGTCCCCCCCCCCCTGCTTCCGGCCCCTAAGCGTCTGAGGGCTTCGGGGTCGGGGTGGGGTTTAGCGGTTTCTGAGACTCGGGCAGTTTCGGGGCTTGCCTCGTCCGGGGGGGCTACGGAGGCATTCGAGTCTGTTCCTCCGGGCGATGCTCCGGGGTCTGACCAGTGGGCCCCTTCTCTTCTGGAGCTTTCAGCTGCCCCGGCTTTTTCTTGTGAGGCCGGGGCTTTGGAGGACGGCTCGGCCCCGGAGCCTGGTGTGGAGGCTCCTGGGGTTGGGAAGGAGTTGACTTGGGGGCCTTGGACTCCATTGGACCCCGCCTGGATTTTCCGTCCTTCTGAGTGGGGCTTACTGTT